GCCACTAAACAAACGGCAAATTGCTTTGATATACTGACCTCATCACCATCTATAAACCGCTGATCATCAGGCATACCAAGTTTGAGTTTTTTCTCTTTCTTCTTTTTATCTTCTTCCTAAAGAGAAAATATTGCAATGTATATAAAGATATAAACTGCTGCACTGTGCATCATATTCTTAAGAAAAACAAAGAAGGAGAAAAACCAAACAGAAAATGGGCCTGGGTATAAAGACATTGTAAGACATCAATTGATTAAAAGCTGAAGGAAGGCTGACATCAACAAAACAAACTATAGTGGGGGAGGCTGAGAAAAAAAAAAAAAAAACATGTAGGGAAACATCAAAAAAAAAAAAAAAAAAAAAAAAAAAAAATCAAAGGAAAACAAAGTGGGAGAAGGAGAGGAAGAAATAACCAATTAAAAATGGAAGACTGCACCAAACAAACCATCCGGGGGCAGGGGAGTAAAAAAAGTAAGGAGGTAGGATACAACCAAATAAAAATAATAGTGGGGGCAGGGAAATAAATACAATTTTCTATTCATATTAAAATTTCTTTTTATAATGAATCTTTCTAATGCTCCAACTAAAGTGAAAGTTAAAATATTAAACCTCACTTTAGAAAATTCAACTTCTTTATATATATATATATATAAGAAACAAAAAACAACATTTGTTCAATTTCAGTTTACTTTTAATTGACAATAGCAAAAAAATAAATTAAGTGCCCACCTTCTTTTCTTCTTTTTCATCTTTCTTTTTTTCTGTGTCATCTGTTTTTTCTCCTTCTCTGTCACTTTCTTTTTCTTTCTTGCTTTTCTTGTCTTTTTTAGATTTCTTCTCCTGAAAAATGAAGGAAATCAACATTAAAAACATACAAACAGCAATATTACCAAAACTAGTTTATCTGTCCTGTATATCAATTAAGTGCCACTTGGACAATCATGTCTCTTTCAATTCATGACTGACTAGGTAGAAGATTTTCCCACAGTAGACTGCTGTTTCTTTGTGGTAGACTGGTTGCCAACCAAGGCTATAGGACCCAGTCTGTCCTGCTATTCAACCTATAGCTAGGAGGAGAAGAGATGAGTTCATACCTTTCCCAAAGATATTTGCGCATCAGTGATTAATGAACTCTACTGCAATTCAAACTGCTCTCAAATTTCACATGCCGAGCTATTATCCACCACACCATGCTGCACATCCTCGTGTGTGTGTGTGTGTGTGTATAAAAAATGCCCAAATTTAATTTTGTAAGTGCATATTTTTTGCTTGAGTAATCTAGTGTTTTATTTGTATAATCAACACTTATTACTATAAATTAATATATCTATATAATTAACTATATTGTCACATGTAAGAAAGAAATGTTTTAAATTATTCAAGGTAAATATATTCAAAAATGTTAGCATGAAACAAAATAAATAATTGATGCATTAGCAGCCTAATATTCTCTATTTACTAACGAGATATTTCATTGTTATGGTAACAGAATGCATGTTTGCTTACTGGCAGTGAGTAATGCCTCCTGTTACTACAACAACGGAATATCTTATTACTAAGAAAGGGGGATCATGGTGTGGAATTAATAAACAAGTTACATTATATTTTATATTATCAAATAAATGCTTATATAACAACCACATTATAATTCACTGACCCAACCTAGTATAAATCTGAACAAACAAAATTTTTTTTTGATCTTTCTTTATCAGGTTGATAACTTTTCAGAATGTCAGTGTATGTATGTATTAGAACACATAAGTAATGTCATAAATATTTGTTAATGCCATTTTAGCAGATGGCGGGGGTTCCTTTTTCTTAATGACATATCCCTAATCTATAAAAGAAAATCAGAAAAATACATTTGTACATTTTGAAAAAGAAATTTAGTTGATAGTTATTAGAACAATATTTAAAATACATACAACAAAATTTAATAAAATAATAAACAATGAAAACTTCAAATAAACAGAACAATTATCACCATACACCATAATGAAAGTTATGTGATGGGCAGATGATTTGTTATTACTTTAATAACCTCAGAATCATTTTTTTTCTTAACTAAAAATCTTTTCAATTAAAAAAAAAAAAGTACTTCTTGGCTTCTCTTTGTGTTTACTCAAGGAGCTGAAGTAGTGATGCTTTAATTCAGATAAATCAAGGTAACAGAGATGTCATACTACAGATGGATACCAACCATAGAGAGAATATGTAAGCAATGAGGAAGTTCTAAAAATAAAAAAATAAATTTTTTTTTACAAAAATACTATCAAAATCTTTATCTGAAAAGCAACGGGACTGGGTGCACTGTGTGAGTTCTGGGCAAAAGAGAGATAAGAGGATTGTGTTATCATCTAACATGATATCTTGGGAGTATAAACTATAATCACAAGCTCAAGTGGATCATCAAGGGGTCCCATTTTGAAAGTGTGGAGAACATTTAAGAGGGCCGTAATGACAGAGCTGAGGGCATCCAAGAAGAATCCTCCCAGCAATGCATAGAAGTGTGGCAGAGAAGAATGGAAAAGTGCATTACACTCCAAAGGGAATACTTTAAAGAGGAAATCCCTTGTTTGTTTGTTTGGAATTTGAATAAATTGTTTGTGACACCAATCCCATTACTTTTCAGACAGACCTCGTAGACACTGCCACAGTACTAAACCTCATAATGCCTTGGACCTCAGGTCTGGTTACATAAAGGGTTGTACTAAAACTTACTTCTTCCAAGTTGGTTTCTTCTTCACTACCCGCTTTGATTTTCTTTTTTGGCTTTGTCTTTTCCGATTTCTTTTTTTCTATTCGAATAGCTCGATGGAACAGACCCTTCACTAGTAATCTGTGTAAATAGGAAAAAATTAAATAAACAAATTAAACAATTGATAACATTAACTTAAGGATACATAGGCCATCAATAAGTCAGTGAATTTTCTTTGTCAATGCACTCAATTCAGTGAATATTAATTTCAAATCTAGCTATGAAATTATTACTCTACCTTGACAAATAGAGAACAAGATTAGCAACAAGGCAACCATGAAGATGTCTACAAGTTTTTTTTTCTGGGCAGATTTGAATAAAATGTTAGCAAGCATATTTTTTTTTTTTTTTTTTAATTATTGCTATTATTATTATTAAATTAAATAAAGAGATCAATTACAAGATTACTAAAATTAGGCACAATAATATACAGCCTGGGCACTTTTCAGCACCCACCTCCATAATTCCTTAATGAATATAGGAAAATCCAACATGGCGCGTAAAATAAATATTCGGCAAAAAAATCTCATTCGTCAGTAACATTTTAAACACCTCATAGAATGTAAAGTTCTTAAAGAAAATCTATGCAAAACTGTTTTCCTGAATTGGCTGTCCGAAAATGATAATATCAAGATGAAATAATGGAAACTGACTGAAAAATACAATTATGCGCAACAAGTTTTTTGATCAATTAGTAAACTTCTGGACCTTTTAGGGCGACATTATAGAATCCAGATGGCTACTGTTTGCACATGGAATTATTCACTGGTAATTAATCTTCGATTTGGCTGTGGAAAATGTCACTCAGCGGTTAGCATTAAGAAATTATGCCCAATTTTCTGAGAAAAATCCCCCTTTTTTTTTTAATGAAAAAATATTTATTTTTGCTTCAAAATAACATCATTCAAAATTCATTCCTTTCTTTTTCATTTGGCATGAACATCATTGAATAAAAAGAACGGCTAAATGGACCGGCGATGGGAAATATGAAAGATATGCGGCGTTGCTGCTAAGTGTTGTTGTCATCACCCAGGTCACGGGGTGTTAAAAACAAAACAAAACTCATCAAGCCATTGTTCAAACATAGGTTATATCAAGCCCTAGTAATGTTGAACCCATTTTTTTTTTTTTTTTTTCACTCTTTGCTTTTATCTGGGAGTGGTGGGTTTTATTACAACTTGTTCTAAACATTTATTGTTTATTGCTGGCTGACCTTTGACCTAGATGTCAAAGTCAATTTGGTTTAATTTTCCTTATCGCTGCTATTTTTTGGAAAAAAAAAAAAAAAAAATTTGTTTTGGTGGTTAGGAATTGCAGATAAATCTTTTTCACCTTTTACTAAAGATTTCCGTGGCCGGGTGTCAATTTTTTTTTTTTACCCTTGGCAGTCATATAATTGAAAATTACCAATGGATTTTGTCGCATTTTTGAACCCCCGAGGAATGTTGATTTCCTTCAAAACTCTCAATTTTATGCCTGAAATAGTTTGATTATGATTTAGGCTTTCTGATTTTCAAAAAAAAAAAAAAAAAAAAAAAAAAATTTCCCATTAATGGGGAAAATATTTGTTTAGAACAAGAAAAAATGCAAAATTTTCACTATTTTTTTCACATTTTTTACCCACTGAAAAAAATTTTGAGTCATTTACACCAGCCAATTTTACTTTTAAATGAAAGAATATATCCTTTGCTTTCAGAAAATACCTAGTTTCATGGGGTTCAGATCAAAAGTTTCCTTGATATTTGTTTAGATGATGATAAAACAGTCATTTTCAATATTTTACCCCTATAAAAGTATGAAAATCCATTTTTGAGAGAAAATAAGCTGTGACAAAATGACTTTTGCCATTTTTGTGATGATTTTCACTTGGGAAAGAAAATTTTTACCATAGGAAACCTGAATTGACTTTATTTAAGTTCAGTGGGGGGACATAAAAATAATTTTTATTGTTACATCTACATTTTGGAAAAAAAAAAAAAAAGAAAAGTGATTTTCATAGACTTAAACAGCACCACCTAACAGGCATTTAAAACTTTTAAATGTAATTGTTTTGAAAATCCCACATAAAAATCTTTTACAGTTCATTTTTAATTGCGTGTAAGAGCTCAGGTTATTAATATTGTTGACTAACAAGGTGGCTTGGTTTCATCTGGTTTGATATTCCCAGACTATGAAATAAAAAAAGTAATAAAAATGAACAAAACTGTAAACAATTTTAAACTGTAAAAGGTTTAATTAGAGAATATTCTTACTCACAATTAACTTATTTTTTTTTTGTTCAATTGATTTAAACTTCCAAAGGATAAAAAATTATATATATATATATATATATATATATATATATATATATATATATATATATATATATATATATTTCAAAATAAAAAAAAGCAAAAAATAAATAATCCTTGATAATGGCTAACAGTATAAACAAAAAGCACTCTGACATATAACATTTGGACTATTTATACATTTGATTAAAAATAAATTTTACATATATGTTATTGCCTTTTTTTTGTTTTATAAAAAATAATGATAAAATATCAAAATCTTTTTGAATCATTTCAAAATTTTTTAAATATTTCAAAACAATTTAGAAACTAATTATTTCAATTATAGAAATAAAAAAAAGCATAAACAATCCTGCTCTAAATGAATGGCAATGTTATTTAAAGTTAAAATATTTTGAATTGTAAATTTTTTTGAGAAAAACTTTTCCAGATACAAATTCTATTATTTAACCCATAGCTAGAGGGAGGAGATAGATTCATACCTTTCCCAAGGGTATTTGTGCATAAGTGAATGTAACGACCCTGACTGAAATTTGAACTTGGCTCTCAGTTTTCTTATTCCAAGCTGCTATCCATTACACCACCTGCACATCTGCTCTTAATGAAATTACATCACAATGAATAAAAACTTTTGGAATTTACTAAAAGTAAAATTGCAATATTTTGCTTTGTCACATGTTTGAAGAACTGGACACAAAGACAAAACAGACTAGAGGGAATTAACTGCTAAAAGTTATTCTCTAAGTAAAGAAAGTAGGAGATAAATTTACCCATGTAGATTGTATAAATGGTTCAGTTCAAAATTCTTAAGTTACCAGTTATGACAGGCACCTGAAGAAGGCTAGAGGGATCAATAGCCGAAATCAAAGTATAATAAACAAGATGAGTATACTAGTCTAAACAGAAAGACATTAACAATTATAAACAAATTTGTTCTCTTTTTTCTGAAAAATTTTAGGAAGGTTTAAAAAAAAAAAAAAAAAAAAAAAATCAATTATCAATGATGAAAAAAAATTTCCTAAGTGAGGCTTTAAAATCGATTTTTTTAAGTTAACATTTAAATTACTTAATTTTGATTCTAACACCTTCTTCCACAAAATTTTTTGCTTTTAGAGATTCAATCTCACCCTAAAAACTTTTTTTCTTATCCACAAGGCTTTTTAACATCATGTTGAAACACCAGTTCCTGTGATTACCAAAAAATAAGCAATGTTTGAATAACGGGAAAATAGGTCAGTACCTTGATGGGACGTTTTTTGAGAATTAGATGCTATAAGCTTGGATCAATTTATTGTGTAATGGAAATGGCTCAAATTTTTAATCAAGAATGATTTCCAATTCCTGTTGGGTCCATTCAAAAAAAAAAAATACCCTTTGGGAAATTGTATGAATCCACCTCTTCTCACCTCACTATGGATTAATTAGATAAAAAATGTATCACTAAATCAAAAAAAAATTTTAAAAAATCTAAAATTAAAAATATTTTTCTGGCTTTAAATAACCTGAAGGAAAAGGTTGATAAACTATTCAAAAATGTTTATCAATCAAAAACAATCCTTCCATTACTTTTCCAATGACCTGACCTGAATTTTTTCACTGCCATGAAATAAAATTAAGGTTTTGTTTAAATAAACACAAGGATTAATTCCAATATCATTCTTTTCAAAAACAGTCCTAAAATATTGTCAACTATTAATTTTTGATTAAATTTCAATAAATCTTTTTATTGCAAATATTTTTGACAAAATTAGTAAAAGTAGGGATTAGAAATAAAAGGTTGTTAATGGGTGTTTCTTCTTAATACTGCCTGACTGATAGTTATGGAGAATGGTTTGCCTAAATGCTCATTTCCCTGATATGGATGGAACTAATTTTTTTGTCAAAATATTGAGTATAAGAATAGAGTGCAGGAATGTGGATTCATGCCTTTCTGTTGTAATGTTGTCCTTATTCAAAATAGCTAAGAATTAGGAAGGTTGTTGTTAGAGTATCAAAGGAACTGATAACTAGGTGGATGAAACAAAGAATTTTATTAAATACTCATACATAGAACGGAAAAACCCTAATAAATCAAATACTGCTCAAATCCTTCTCTAATGTGGTTACTTGCCTGATTTATAAGTAGGAGCAGTCCATTGTTACAGTAGTCGGGAAGAGCAGGAAGTATTGGCAAGTCCTACTCTACAACACTTTCCCCTCAGTCAAAATTTTAGTGGTTTACATTTTAAAAATTCACATGTGCAAAAGCTAATAAGAACTTTAAGTTCTTCATTTTTTTTATGGCATGAGTAAAAAAAAAAGAAAGAAAAAAATGTTAATAGTGACAAAAACATTATACCATCGTTTCTAGTCATTGTCTTTCAGACAGATATAAATTGTATTTATATAATTATTTTAAACTAGCTTAAAAGCTGCACTCTCAAAAATAAGAGGACTTCTGGTCTTAGAAAATAGCAATGATAATTTTTGAAGAAATAGCTTTGAATTTCAATTCCTTTCTGAACTTTTTAATTTTAACTCTGATTCAGGCTATAAAAAAATTTCTCAAAGCCATAAGACAGATTTGAGCCAAAAATACAATTCCAACCCAAAATTGAGATCTTAAAATCACAAACTCTGTGGAACTACAAAACCTTTCACTTTAACTAATTCTTTAGCATTTTAAAGAAATAAAATCGATTTCCTCAATTCAAAGTTTTGGACATATTTTAAACTGAATTTAAAACAAAAAATTTTAAATTCACAATATTTTTGTGTTACTTCAAACTAAATATAAATTAAAAACTTTTAGAATCACTAATTTTTTTCCCAATTATTTTAAGATTTGAATTTTTAACTCCTCATCCAGACACAAATACTTTCTGAGCTGGCTGTTCAATCCAAATGAAATGCAAATTTTAATCCTGGGATCATCCTGATTGCAAAAAGGTATAAAATGACTTGTTTTAAATTTATATTTTTAAGATACATGTTCTTTATTTTTTTGATGAATATACCATCTATATTTCTAAATAAATAAATTCTTTATATTGTTCATGAAAATTACCCTCATTATTGCCATATCATCATATTCCTGCCTGTGTTGTTTCAAAGTCTTCTTCAAGGGATTGATTGAATTTAAAAATGAACCTTTAATTCTGCGATAACAGGAATACATTGTTCTTTTTGTTGCTTTTAATGTTCTTCCAGATGCCTCACAAAAATCTCCCTTTAACTTTGGGATGTTTTGTTCACCACTCAATAGCCAGGCATTAAATTCACAACTTGAAGACACATGATCCAGTTGGATGAATCCAGTGACTTTACCAAAGAGTTGTGAGAGTTCCATACCTTGTTACTGCAGTGGTGAATCTGTACAGAGTTTCAACATTAGATAATTTGAGACATTTGCCGAGAGGTAATTATTTTGTCCACTAGAACAATTCACCCAGGTGCATGAAATAAAGGGTTACAGTTTGAAATTGAATCACCTGAATTTGTACTGGAATATCAATAACATCATGAATATGGCAATAAAGATGAGGACAAAAGTCTGAACAATGTAAATAAATATGCTACTTAATTGAAGACCATACTACACTAAATTAATTTCTAGACAAATTATAAACCACAGTAATGATACTTCCATTAGATTATTCCTGAATTTAGATGCTACACTTAGATTTCATTTAGCTTAGAATAAAGCAGTTTAACTAAAAAATAATAATATACTTATCTAAAGAGATTACAAACAAATCATATATACTTGAATTGCATAAATATAGAATTATCATCTCAGACATAGGATATTCACACATCACATACGTAGATGTTTCCCATAACCGAAATAATCAGGCTACCATACTGAATAATTCACTTTCATAGCATTTCTCATAGTAACCGTTGGGGGATTACTTGGCAGTGCCCATCTGCTCTCCAAGGGACATGCAACAGGTTTTATTGGGTTACATGATACCAGCAGCAATGAAGAATGACCACTTGTCAAATAGCCAAGATGAATTGTCTTACAAGGATCAATGGTTCAAACTGCCTTGCTATTTACCAATATCTGAAGGATTCGTGCCTTTCTCAAGGACATTAGTACAAAATGACTGCAAACTATCCCAACAATAGTTGGAATTTAGTGTGCCAATTCCATTTTCCTTGTTGTCAACCATTAGGCCAATCATGCCTCTGTACTCATATACATTTGCATCTAAAAACCAATTGAGTCTTACAAACACATACTTCTAATATTAGAAAAGATGTGATTTCAGAAAGTGCTTAGGAGATCTAACTTAAATTAGTATGACAGTTGGCAAAGATACAAATAAACCGATAATTAGTAAGTGTCATTTTGAAATGTTTACTCAATCATGACATCACTTGTGACATAACTACTGCCTGGTCATTTAACACAAGTGTATGCAAACAGCCACTTTCTGGTCTGATCTGATTATAACTATTAACTTTTGTACTTGTACATCAATGTGTACAATGTTGTAATTAGATAAATACATACATCTGTACATCCAATTAACTATGTTTGTATACATTATAACAAAGTTATGACATTTTCACACAGTTAACTAATCTTGTAAGTGAAAAAAAAAAACAATAACAGTATGAGAAACTAATATTTTTGTTATACTGAATGAATGAGGGTAAAAAAAAAACTAGTCCACGCAACCATTTTTAATATACTGAATCTACAATAATTTACATCATATATACTTATGTGACACATGATCTCATATCATGTGACCCCCAAATTTTCACTTATAAAAATGATTTTATCATGTATCTCTTGTATCATACAAGTTCCTTTTTTGAGAGACCAAATTACAATAGACTAACCTCTTCTCCTCCATCTCTTTATCCCATCTTCTAGATAAATAAGTTAAAAAAGTAAAAAAGAATGATAAAAGTATTATTAATAATGCTATACTTGTTGCATAAACATGTACAGCCATAAACAACCGAATGAGTGACAGCTAAACATCTTATAATCATAAACAATGGAAAAAATGCATATTTGCTGTTTGTATTTTATAATACGATACTAATATATGAATATTACATGTATTATTATTGGATACAGTTCAGTAAAACATCAGTTTTATAAAAATAATGTTTATTTTAAATACAGCTGTACTTTTTGACTATAGTATATGGATATATAGTTTTGTCAGTGTAGCTAGGGCCAGCAGTACATATGCTAATTTTATATCCTGTGTATGATGTGACTCCCTTAAAATTAGCTTCAAAAGTCACATTATATGTGAATATCTACAGTAATTCATTTGTTTTCCTTCCATTGCTTATCACTGCTAAGCGCACACATTTCAACTATTTTATGTACATTTTATATTCATCATGTGTAAACAATAAAATAACATTTATTGCAATAAGAAATAATGTTGAATAAAAAAATAAAAATAAAAATTTATTTTTTCAGTACAAAAACAAATTTTGCAGATATAGACTTTGAAATGCTCCAATGAGGAATGTACATTTTTAAAAAGGGTAACAGTAAGGCATGGCTAGAAGGTGAAAAAGTATCTCAGCAGTCCATTTAACACACATCCAAATGCCATCACTGTTAGCTGTATAAAGAGAATAAAAATAACATTATGTCCATCTTCCTCTGCTATCAATTCAAATTCATTTGCTTCAGTGTTAAAGACATTCTTGTAAGAACAACTTGTATATTTAGGAAGGTTTTCATTCAATACCTAGTTTTTCTACATAACCTTTGTCATCTTTCTGTGTAGGCAAAGTAGAAAATCCAAGATGTTAACATTTATCAGTCAAGGCTTTCTATCTGATCTTCTAGTTTTAGTACTTCCCTAGACAATTATTAATCATTTCAAACAGTACAGTTCATTTTCATTTTAAATAATTGTGGAACCAGTAATAAGGAGTGCCAGAGAAAAGTGATAACAACAACAAAAATTGCAATATGAGCTCTGGTAAAAACATGCGATGATAACAGCAAAAAATTGCAATAAAAAAAATGTTGCTGAAGACATTAGGTTTATAATACCCAGAAATTCATACACAGATGTCCTCAAGGACACAGTGGATAAAGGCGTTGGTGAGATCCAGTGGGGAACTTGGAGAGAGGAATTAACAGGAGATAACTGACATCCATTAAACATGGCACATGGAACTAGAACAGTCTACCCGAGTAAGCGAAATAAAAGGGTTCAGTTCAACATTCAACCACCTGAAGAAGGCCGAAGTGTATAACGGCTGAAATGTTGTAATAAATATGGCGACAAAGATGAGGACAATAGTCCGAATAATGTAAATAGTGTACATAATACCTCATCTCAGAAATGTAGACAGATACAAAAATTTGTACTACAATGTTTTTTTTGTGTGTTATGTTAAACACAAAAATACAGAACATGAATTATACTACAAGATAAAAAATTTAAGGCTTCTCACCTGTCCAAGTAATTGACACATGACTGTCGATTGGTGAATAATGGATTAGTTTTATTTTCAGTTGATGACCATTTGGAATGCATCAAAACATCAACAGCTTTGCACCCTGAGTGAGGAAAAAATACAAATAAACCATTGATCAATGAGATATAGAAATAATACTTTAAAATTTAAGACAATATTAATATTTCTTTTTGAACTCGTAAAACATCAAAAGCAAATAAAAAGTTATTTTCTTTAAGAAATTACTGTTGTCTCTGTAATATTTCTATTGCAATGATTTAAATGTTTTCAATCTTAGCCAAATTTTAAGAGTTGTAAAATACTTTACAAAGAAATAAAATTTGAGGTATTCTCATAAGACATTTAAAATGCCAGAAAATTTAATTTAAGTTTTGAAAGAATTCAACATTTTGCAGACATGCTGACATTTAATAACAGACACTTTTGTCCTCATCTTTGTTGTCATCATCACAATGTTTTGGTTGTTGTGTCATCCAGCCTTCAGCTGGTATGGATCAATCAGGATAGCCTACAATTCTGAAGTGAACCCTTTATTTAATCTATGGAGGTAGACTGTTCTTGATGTCTAGATGATATCCCCAGACATGGGCAGTGGAACAAGAACAGTTTACTCATGTAGATTAAATAAAGGAGTCAGTTCAGAATTTCCTGTAGGTTACACAGATTAATATACAAGAAGGCCAGAAAGTATGATTGAAATATTGTGATAACAACAGTAAAGACAAGAACAATAGTCTGAATATAAATAGTGTAAATAACTCCTCAACCCAGATATCCAGACAGAAATAAATTATTATTTAAAAGAAAAAAATGTTAAAAAAAAAAACAAAACAAAAAAACTTCAAGGTATTAATTTTAAATTGGCTTCATAATAATAAAATTCTTTATTTCTTGGTTGAGGGATTTTGAGAGATGTGACAAATATTTCCCACAACACAGGAAACATGGGGTAACTTAACAGAAAGATCCCCGCCTTTCACTTTAGTGCCATGAGACAACCCTGTGGAGAATATGGCTAGAACCTCGCCATACTTGGCTCTGACTTTTCAGTAACAAGTAGAATTTTACAGGCTCGAGCTGCCAGCTCCACAGGGAACAGGTTTTTAATTTCAAAGTTGTCCTTCTCCTAGGCCGGTTTGTCCTTTTATTTAAACCATAGCTTTCCTTTTTAGAGATGGATTCATGCCTTTCGCAAGGCTATTGGTGTGAAAGTGAATGCAACAAATTTGGTGTGCTAATTCCAATTTCAGTGACAATAACCACTATGTTACATGTACATCCATATACAGATCAATTTCTTCAAATTCCTTAAAACTGTGGGTAGCACCTGGCAGGACAATTTTCATGTTCATGCATTGTTTTATTCTTGATTAATCTATATGCATTTCATTAATTATAAAAAACATATCTGTTACAGCTAAGTGATTTTTCTCAGGTTAATTGGTGGAATGATTTTAAAAAGGCAAAGAGATTATCTAGTAACTACAAGATCCATCCAGCTATTTTTAATATTTTCAAAACCAGCTGTGTAATTCTGATGTCAACTGGCAATCAATCAGAGGCTATGTTACCATGCAAGTGTTAACAGACATACTTCCATGAGGTTGCTCAGTTAACAGCAATATATCATTGAACAAGCTTGTATATTGTGTGGCTGTTGTAGTCACAATGACCAAGCAAGGAGATTTTTCATATCTCACTTTGACAAAACCAGGCCTGTCAACCCCCTCCCACCTTATTTTAGATTTGGCTACTGCCTTCTGGCATTTCTCAAAGTTAAAAATCCCTGTTAAAACAACTTGGATGAGATTAAGAAGAGTAATGCAACAAAGGCAGTTGATGACTATCTGGAAAGAATTTTGCACATTATTTTGAAAAAAAGAAAAAAAAAAGAAAGAAATGTCCTTAAGAAAGTGGTATGCAATTCTTTGTGTCACTGCACCAGCTGTGATGGCATCCAAGGTTGGCTGTATGCAAATACATTGGTGTTCGCTATGTTCCAGATTCCTCTCAATAACCAATATTAGAGCAGTGATTGCTGTCAAAAAGCAATAGCGATAAATGCTTTTCAAGTCACTTATTGGGTCAGGAAGTAGTAAAAAAGATACAATCTCTCACTTAGCAATGCTTTCCTTCTGCTATGAGAGAGCAAACTTTTCCTGCCTTCTCACTAAGTTACAGCCACTGAAAGCAAACTCCTACACACTCAGTGCCTGGCCATTTCACTGACTGCCCTTTCACTCACTGTCTGATTCATTATATAGATACTAGCTGGGGGATCCACCACCCCTCCTTGTCCATTCATGTTCTACCAACCGGAAAGGGGAACCGTCCAGACAGGTCTTGAATGATCAGTCTTTCAAAGGACCCTACTTTTACAGCTATGTAAAAAGGCTAACAAAATTTTATGTTCAACAATTCAAAGGTAGGCTGGAGACAGGATTCCGGAAAAAACCTTGATCATTAAATTGAGTTAAAAGGAAAAAGAATCTATCTATTCATCTCTTAAGATGCACAAGAAATTGTACTGTTACAGTAGTTTAAAGAGGTACAATTGCCCTAGATAGGTTATTTTTAATTTTTTTTTTTAACTGGCTGAATATGTTCAGTACACATCTTATATATCTCAATATCTTCTGTAGAAGAAAACAATTTTCTAAGGCACAGAATGAATATTTATAAAGACAACACTGTTCTGTCATAATTCTCTATTTTTTATGTTACACTATTTAGATATTATTTCACACTAATCTTTATTGCCTATTCAATACTCATCTCATAATTTCACATTATCTTTGTAACAATACATATCTGATAATTTTTTTTTAAAAACATTGATTCTATAGATTCTGAAATGTTATTATAGCCTGACCAAGAAATGAATGACCCAGAGCCATGAAACATAAATGGTATTCTACATCACCCTGCAGTTCAGCACTCACTCACTCTTGGTAGATTTTTTTTCTTCCCCACAGAAATTTTGCAACTGAGTTGGTATTGGGCTGGGAACTTTTCAGTACTTACATAAATTTTTCTATGGACCCATCTTTGAGTTTTAAATAGATGTACTAGGAAAATTATAATTTTATTTATTTTTTTTTTTTTTTAAAGAAAAATCCACCTTGCATGTCCTAATTCTAACCTCTTTTATTAAATACCCAGGAAATTCCTCCCATTCCTCAGTTTAGTTCGCAAGCTTTTTTAGGCCAAAGGATTTCATTACTTTAAAAAAAAAAAAAATATCATCCACCAACCCTTTCTAATCACCCTTATCTATTTGGAGTTCAAATGTAGTCATTTTGCACCCAACCCAGCTTTTTTGTTTTTCCAAAGCAAAATATAATCCTTAAAAAAAGCAAAACCTAAAACAAAAATGAATACCTTACCAATGAAACATGTTACTGTGATGCCTGCTAGTCGTCCCTCTTTCACTGGACTGTTAAAACGGAGATGCCTGGCCACGGCATATTCTTCTTTCGTGGGAGTTTCTTTCTCCTAAAAACAAATACAAATGTTTTTGTAGAGTAAACAAGTGAATTTAGCTCATAGTTTGTTTCCTTTTATGAAGAATAAAAAACAACTTTGTTTTAAGTGCCTGAAAAAAGCAAGGACATTTATATGGATCTAGTAATTGTGACACTTTCTGATATTTCGTAGCTGCTTGAAAACATCAATAAATATATCTGTAAACTTCAAGGAGATATTCCTACTAGTTGTGTGCCTTTCTAAAATAGATTTTTACATAAACTGCAAGAGGCATAAAAAAGAAAAAGATTTGTTCAAGTTAGAGGATGATACAATGGAACAGTTGAGAATAAATGTAAAAAACTTCATACCATACAAGCAATAAAGCTCTGGTTAATAAAATAATTCCAATAACCCAAGTTTACAACCAAAGCTTATTTATTAAATGTACCTGAAAAGAAGCACGAAGGATTACTTCAAAACCACTCAGCTGATATAACCCAATTGTTAGTTACTATAGTAACAGAAACACTTACAAAAAGTGATTTATAATATAATAACTTTAGATAAAATTCATAAATTCAACAAATTAAAAATAAAAAAATTCTTTTTAATAACTTAAGTTTTACAGTGGTCAATGGTGATAGTAAACATTTTTCAGTATTTATTTATACATTAGTGAAGCCAACAGATCAGGAAAGAAAACCTTCAAGTATATTAGCAATAACAATTTTGAATAATCAGATAAAATATATGTGTGTGTGTGTATATGTGTGTGTGTATCTCATAAATACACACCAAAACAATCCAAGTTATTGGTAAAGCATCCAGCATTGAATCAGCCAAAGGGAAAAAACATGGAGGAAAAAAAGACAAAGGAAAGAAAACATGAAAAATAAAACAAAAAAAACAAAAAAAAAACAACATAAGCAAAAACCTGAAGTGCTCAATGCTTCTAGAAATTAAACTGACAGAGCAGTAACTTGATTTAAAGAGGATTAAAGTACCATTGCTCTAGGTAGGTTATTTTCTTTTTTTTAACTAGCTGAATATTTTCTGTACACCAATTGTATAGTATAACAGTTCTTGCTTAATAATCACATTGTGAAACTCAGAGTAATGAACACTCATATGAAATGAAGACTAAATAGTGAATGTGGAGTATGCCAGAAACTGCTCATTCTAGCAAGCCATAGTCAAGCAAGCTTCTGAAAATTTTGAGGAAGTCCGACTTCAAAAGCTCACTATAGGAATACACCACCAATCAGAGAATTGACAAATGTATGTATAATTAAAATTTTTCTTCAGTTCTGATTAAACATGATCAGAAAAATAAAATTAATACTTCAATACCATGCATAAATGAATGTTTAGTTGTTTGTAAATACAATTCTTATTGAAATAAAATTATATTAATGTAAGGATAAGCAAAGTTGCTGAAAGAAGGGATTGAGGTATAACAGTTCATTTTTCTAAAGGGTCAAACACTCTTGTATAAATAAACTAATTAACAATGACCATCTGAAAAGAAATTCAATGAAAAGTGTTAATATTTCAAGGACACTTTTCATTCTTGTTTTTTGCTGCAGTGATATACAATCCATTTGTCATTTTTTTTTCAAAGTTCTTTTCACTGTGTACAAAACATTTGCCAAATACTGAGAGAGAGCATATTGTTTGGTTGTCAAATGTTTTCCTCAAGTGTAATATAATTTCAACACAGAAATTAGAAAGGGTCAGATAGCCCGAGGAACAAAACATTCAACAGTTGAACTTGAAACCGGTTGGCATTTCAATTCTTTATTAGATCTGACCTTCATGACAGTAGGGGGTCAACAAACAATTTGGGCCTAGAAAAAAACAAAAAAAAAAACTAATATAGAAGGCCAAATTTTGAGGAAAAAAGAAATTTAAATAAGTATTTCCAATGTACAAGTCAAATATTAATACTAGAAATTCAGAGGCAACCCAAACATTTTTAATTAATTTTACATAGTAACATTTTCACTATTGTATAGCATTGTTGCTTGGATGGAAAAACAGTGCTATTTATTGGAAATAAATAATAAAGAAGTTGGCTGTCTTTTTGATTTTGATCAGATAATCTGCAGTACAGACTAAGTGGAATGATGCCCTCAAAGTGTTACACCAATTGCATTGTATGCTACTATATATCTATGTTGATTTGGAAATAATGCCAAATGCAAGGGACTGTCATTTCTTGTCCTGAAAACATGCAAATGTCAACAGCAAGCAATAAAAGTCTTGTAAAGACATAATTATGTTCACAGTGGTGGACATGTTAATTGAGAGATTAATTAGTTTTCATTTGGAGATTTTATAATTCTAAAAATTAAATTTGAAACTTATATTAAATTAGATAAAACAGTCAGGATTTTAACATATTCACTTTTGTTATTAGAAAATACAGATACTACATACTGATCTCCATTTTAAAGAAAGACCTCTGCTCCATGCTACAACGCTATGTTTAATTTGTTAAAGAGACTGACAAAAAGTCAATGTTAATAAAAAAAAATACTTTAAATCAAGACATGCAAGAGAATTTACTTGTTTAGATATGATCATTTTAAATAGCTCCTAGCTCATCTCACTCCAAAACCAAGAAAAATACTAAACTTGTGCCACAATTATGAATCATATTTCTTTACATCAGGTCACAATTTTTTTATTTTATTTTTTTATTTAAAATTTAATACAAATAAAAATTCAAGAATTATTTTAAAATATTAAAATATTTGTTAATATTATTAAAATATTATTAAATCATTAACTTATTAAAAATTTTCATAAATTAAAAATACATGGAAGAAAAAAAAAAATTATATTTTTTATATCTTTAAACAAATAATTAAAATATAACTCACATTATAAATTTTTTTTAAATAAATTTTACACTTCTAAAAACATTTACTTCAGTTTTCTTTTTATACAGCCAGCATATATTTGACAAGAGTTTTGAAATTTCAATGCTATACTAACTCTAAATCAAAAAGGTATATCAAGTACCAGTATTAAACAATACTAAATTAACATCAGAATAGAAAGAGTTACATTGGTTTAATGATTTGCATTCATTAAGAAAGATCATGAAAAAAAACAAAAAAACTAATAAATATAATCCCAAGTACTATTTAATTTCAATGAAAAACTGACATTTATTTTTGAAGGTTAGAAAGCCCAATTTATTTAACTTCCTTACTTAGTGTCTTGAAACTGACCATACAATTTTAAAGTTATCTACTAGCTTATACAGGGCAGAAAGTGTTTTTTTTTTGTTTTTTTTATAAAGAATTTAAAAAGTATACTTTCAATATATTGCATGTACAGACATGTTTGACCCATAAAGTAAGAACAAGCAAGCAAGTCTTGAAAAGCATTACTATTGTAAGGATTCAGCTTAAAATGAGCGTCCCACACTTGTGACTGGCAAAAGTAAATCTGGTAAATATCTCCATTGACTTCCACAGTTGGTTTCTCTGAAATGGTATTTGAAGTATGACAATGAAAAATTCAGTGATCCATGCAAAAAAAAAAAACAAAAAACACTTGAGCAGCACTCAGTAGAGGAAGTATTCTACCTGCTCTCTCCTTTCAGAATGTAGACAATCATGGCTCTCCACAACTTCCTGTATTTTGTCATTAAGCAACTTCTAACTGTACTATCTCTTTTTACCCTCGTTCTACAATCCAGTCACACAAGCTTATTAGGTAGGTGATGGCTCTCCACAACTTCCTATATTTTGTTGCTTTATAACTCTTTACTATTTCTTTCTATCCTTGTTCTGCTATTCATTCACACAAGCCTGTCAAGTATATTATTGGTGAGAAAACACATCCTTGTCTTTCTCCTCTTTCTAGTTTTGTATATTCACTGTATTCATTCTCTATACATATGCAGACTGTTTGGTCCCAGTAAAGAGAAAATATAAAGTCATAATAATCAACTATTTCAAGAGATTTCTTAAATCAATCCAAATTGTCAAATTAAAAACTTTCAATTTAAAATTAAATTGTATTTTAATACATGTTTCATATTGAGATAAATAAAAACGAAAAAATTTAAATCAATTGTATTAAGGTTGAAAATGTTAAAAAAAAAAAAAAAAAAAAAAAATCGGAGTATCAAAATTTCAAGACAACTGTCCAATAATATTTAGTGCCACCTTTTACCTGAATAACAGTGGATATGTGACTGGACAGGACATCTACAAGGTGCTAAAGTCACTGTGTGAGTATTTTTAGCCAGGTACATTTCAGGGTTTTTGTAACAACAGTTGTGTTTGCTGTGTGGCTGCAGGGTATAAAGTACTTGAAAGTTAACCGATAGTTCCTGAAACCAGATTTGCACCACCCAGGCATATAGGATCAAAGCATTATTAGAAAACATAGTTAAGTATAAAGGTGTGCAAATGGTTTGCAACAAAAGCTGTGTATGTAACACCTGTAAATAGCTAGTTTCATTCATAGTTGCTGTAAACTCCAATAGAATGCTGCCCAGAGAGTACAGAGCCATCACCAGCTTGTGTAGCTGCTTGCTGACAGGTTCAATAGTCTCCTCCACATACAAGCTTGACCTTCTAAAAAATCTGGAAACAGGAATTGTCTGATCAAGTTATATAGTACCAGTCTTCCATCATCCAATAGCAATATTCACTGGCCCAGATGTGACAGTAACCAATGCCATAGTGTCAATAATGGATCTCTGGTTGGTTGATGTCTATGAAACCCCAGGGGATATAGTCAGTGGTGGCATCCTACCAGTTTACGCAAACTGATTCTTAAAATTATAAAAGCTTAGCAACCTGGTTGTTGCCTTATCCAATGTATAATAGCTAAAAATATAATTAATACAATTACTGTAAAATCTGTGGAAGCTGAAAGAGGGTTTTCTGTGATGAACATAATTTATTCTGACAAGAGAAATTGTCTTACATTAAAAATGTGGCAAATCTTCAACTCATAAATTTGATAGGTCTCCCATTGGATCTTTGAGACTGCAGCAATTC